CACACACACACACACACACACACAACCTTGAATTTCTCTCCTTTCCAATTACCCATCCTTGGCCATCTCTTCAAAATAGTGACAGAACCAAATCCTAGCTCAGCCAAAGCCCGAACTGCCTCATTTACCTTCAGGGAAGAAACAAAAACTGGCCACAGAGCTCAGCTGAACCCATTTATGAAATCAAAGGAATCCTGAGGCGCTGCCTGGGAGAAGTGTCAGCTTCACAGATGGGGTGTCTCTGGGAACAGGTGCTGGGACAGAACAATCCAATGAGTCATGACTTGGCCTACCTTTCTAGACCCACCTTTCAGGCTGTTCTCAGTTCCACTTCTCTCCTTTCAGGCACATGGCAGGATTACACTTTCGTGCCTCCTTCGAAGTTGGATGTGACCATGTGACTTGTCCTGGCCAATGAAGTGTGCACAGAAACCATCTGTGTCACACCTGAGCAGGTTTAAGAGCCAGTACTTAGGTCGTTGTGGAAGCACAGACAGATACGGAGTCACAGGAAGAGAAGAGCCCCTGCCAGCCCATGCCAGATATGTACCGTAAGTGAGCAATAAATAGCTGCTGTGTTAGCACGGAGGCATGTGCTTATTTTGGTCATTGTGGCAACATCTCACCTATCTTTACTGAACACGTTCTTTCCAAAGCTTCACTGATATTCCTATGACCATTACAATTTGTCATATCTGAAAACCACTTACACTATTAACACTTCTTAACATCAACTCACTTATTTTAACTTAGATTTATTTTAGAAGGAAATGTTATTACTACCAAATGAAACACCAGTATCATAAGTAGAAACCAAAGGGGAAATAAACAGAGTGAAATAAACTGTTATATTATATCCTGACTTAATATTGTTATCTTTCAAAGCCTCTGGGTCCTTGATCTGTCCTCTCTTTGTTCAAAAAAAAAAAAAAAAAATGGAGGTCCCTAAGTGTGTGTCAATCTTTTGGGCTCCAGAAAAGTGGCTGAGATTGTCAGATGTTTGGAGGCAACACAGTATAGAGGTGAGAGCACAAATTCTGGAACCTGACTTTCTGGGCTTGAATTCTGGTTCTGCCATGGACTAGCTCTGTGACATGGGTGAGTTACTTAACTGCTCTGTTACTTTGTAAAATAGGGATGATGGTGTGGATGTCATTGGGTTGTGGGGATTATTCGTGTTAATATACAGAAAGGTCTGTGCTGACACGTAGTGAATATTATACAGATGTTAGTTATAAAATAATGGCAGGATCAAGATCCAGATGGACTTGGAGAGATGTTTGAATTCAGTGAAGAGGAAAGAAAAGTCCTTCACATTGATTAGAAATAAATCACCTGGACAGTGTGGATGGGGAGAGTTGCTTTAGCAGCAGGAGACATGATAAAGTTCTAGAGGTTTTCATTGGTGGCAGCTGCCCAAACTGCTAACCCGATCCCATGTGCCATTAGTGGGACGTGGTGCTCAGGCCAAAGGAGCTAAGGGGCCCTCTGTTCTCTACCCTTAAAGCACCATACGAGAACAACTGTGCTTGATGTCAATTTTAATTGGAACACGTAAAATCTTCCTAGGATGGGACAGGGCGAGAATAATTGAAGATCCAATAGAGTTCTAAGCTGTCTGTTGGAGAAGAGGAGAGGGGCAGTGTGTAGAGAGGTCAAGGCCACTGCCTTTGAAACTTCAGTGGTACCATTTACATAACTGTTTGACCTTGTGAAAATTATTACTCTTCAAGACTTATTCGCTCCATCTGCAAAATAGGAATTAATAATAGGACCTCTTTATAGATTGCTTTGTGGAGTAAATGTGATGAACTTTAGAAACTCGGCACGCAGCTGCCCACCATGTAGTTGTGTTATTTACTGAAATCAAACTACTTTCCTTTAAAAGAATGCTGACCTATTCTTACAGCCCCAGAAGACAAACCAGGACCAACGAATGGATGCTACAAGGTTTGTGCTCAAAATGGAGACCATTTTTCTACCAGATACAATGGTTCTTACTAGGGGAAAAGCTACTTTTTTAAGTAGTGAGCGTACTGTCATTGGGAGTATCAAGCCCAAGCTAAACGTCAGGGAGGATGGTGACAAGATTCCGGCAAAGGACCAGAGGTTGAATCAAAGTAGTATCTCCCAGGGGCAAACGTCTTAAATAAAATACCGTCAGAACCAAATTCATGTTGGAAAAACTGGCTTATCCACAGGCAAAAGAATGAAGTTGGATTCTTTGTTTATATCATATACAAACATTAATGCAAAATGGAATAAAGACCTAAACGTAAGAGCTAAAACTATAAAATTCTTAGAAGAAGACATAGGGGGAAATATTCATGACAATGGATTTGGCAATAATTTCTTGGATATGACACCAAAAGCACAGGCAACAAAAGAAAAAAATAGATACACTAAGTACATATAAATGTAAAACTTTTGGGCACCAAAGTATATTATCAACAGAGTGAAAGGGCAACTGTGGAATGGGAGAAGATATTTGCAAATAATATATGTGATAAGGGGTTAATATCCAGAATATATAAAAGCTCCTATAACTCAGAAACAACAACAAAAAAAAACAATTTTAAACTCAGCTAAGGGCTTGAATAGAGATTTCCTCAAGGAAAATATACAAATGACTAGGACGAACATAAAAAGATGCTCAATGTCACTAATCACTAAGAAATGCAAGTCAAAACCACAATGAATTACCACATCACATTCATTAAGATGAATATTTTTTAAATAAGAAAAAAAAACAAGTGGTGGCAAGGATGTTGAGAAATTGAAACTGATTTGCACTGTTGTGAGAATTAAAATGGAAAATAGTTCGTCAGTTCCTTAAAAATATAATTAACATATGATCCAGCAATTCTACTTCTCGGTATATACCCAAAAGAATTGAAAGCAGGGTCTGGAATACATATTTTTTACATGTTCTTTCATAGCAACATTATTCACAAGAGCCAAAAGTTAGAAGCAAGCCAAGTGTCAATTGACACATGATCAGAAAAACAAAATGTGGTATAAATATACACTGGAATATTATTCAGCCTTGGAAAAGAAAGGAAGTTCTGATAATTGCTACAACATAGATGAACCTTGAGAACTTTCTGCTAAGTGAAATAGACTATTCACAAAAGGGCGGATATTATATGATTCCACTTACATAAGGTACCTAGAGTAGTCTAATTTATAGAGACAGAAAGTAGAATGGTGGTTGCCAGGGGCTGGATGCAGGGAGGACTGGAGAGGTAATTTCTACTGAATACTGAGATTCAGTATGGGAAGATTTTAAAAATTCAAGAGAAGGAATGGTGGCGATGGTTGTATAATGATGAATGTACTTAAAGCCTCTGAATTGTACCCTTGAAATGGCTAACCATATCTTATAAAAAAATTAAAATATCAGTAATGCATAAAATATTTATACTGCATCATGGTCAAGTTTGGTTTAATCCAGAAATGCAAAAATGATTTAATATTAGAAAATCTATTAGTAAATGAGGGAACTGAAGGAGAAAAAACAATGATTATCTCAGTAGATACAGAAAAAGCAGTTACAACCATTCAGCACTAATTATGATTTTAAAACAAAAATTCTAGCTTACTTAGAAGAAACTTATAAAAACTCAATAATATTACCTACCCAAAATCTAAAGTTTGAAGTATTCCTTTAGATTCAAGAATAAGGTTGCTCACTGTGGCAGAACTGTGAGTTGTTCTATATTATCTAGCTTCCTCTCTTCCTTGTATTAAAATCACCGTTTCTTCTATATGGATGCCTCTAAAAAGATTTATCTCAAGCCTTCCTTTGAAGCTAGGTGAGACCAGGGATGAGAGTATGTTCTGGCCAATAAAACATATTCACAAATATAGTTTGGCAGTTTCAAGGAACTTTTCTTAAAAGACAGCTGGAACATGACTTTTACTCCCTTTTCTTCTTTGTCCCTTGTTCATCTTTCTGTAACATGGCTAGAGCTCTGGCAGCTATATTAGACCACGAGGATGAAAACCTCATGGGGTTGAAAAAATAGTAGCTGGAAGGAGCCTGGGTTCCTGAGGACTGCTATGAGGAAGAGCAGCCACACGAACCTCAGTCTGCCTACGCTGGACTTTGACATAACTGAGGAATAATCTTCTGTCTTAAGCTCTTGCTATTTTGTGTCTCAGCTACTCACAGACAAACTAAGCCCATTATTACTGCTTCTATTTGACATTTGACTGGAGGCCCCCTCCATGCAATAAGATAAGAAATTAAAAACAGATTTAATAAGATAATTTAGCCAGGTTGTTGAGTACATTTTCAATATATTAAAAGCACTTGTTAGTATCCACTAACATCAACAAATGAGAAGAGTTAATTAAAAAACCATACCAGCAATAAGAATTATAACTTATCTGGGAAATAACCTAACAAAAGACCTTTATGTATTAAGATGACCAAACTTTATGAAAAACATAAAAGGAGATCTATATAAATGTATTATTTTCATAGCAGAAGGATTCACGATGTAGAGATGTCAATTCTTCCCAAACTGATCAATAAATTCCATGATATTCCCAAGCAGACAAAGCCAGTTGGCAAATTACAAGGGTAGACGACTTTATTGAAATCCAGAGGAGGAGACAAATATGCCACTGGCCTCCAACCCTGGTTCTCCTCTGTCCAACCTCATCCTAAAATGTGTATGAATAAGCAAAGAGAATGGCCATGATGATGGTAAAGAACAGCTGTGCGGAGGACATGCTCTACAATATGTGAAGCTAGAACTGCACTGTCCAATATGGTAACTACTGGCCATATGACACCACCGAACATTTGATTTGTGGCTACTTCAAACTGAGATGTGCTGACAGTGCAAAACACACATCTTATTATAAAGGCCTAGTATAAAAAAAGAATGAAAAATATCTCTTTTTATTGAGCAGATGTTAAAATGATAATATTTTAGATATAGTGAGTTAAATATAATATATTAATAATTTTAACAGTTTCTTTTTGAAGTTTTAAAAAATTAAGCCTTTTATTTTGGTATAATTATAAATTCACTTACTTGTTTTTTTAAAAAAATTCTTTTTAAATGTGCTACTAGAGATACATAAGTGGGGCAATATAGACTGTCTAGAAACAGATCTACGTATATTTGAAAATGGGAGACAAAAGCAATGGCATTGCATATCAGTCAGGAAAGGATGTCAAGAAAAAAATAAAAATGAAAATAAAATAAGAACAAAAAAAAAAAAGAAAGGATGTCATACTTAATAAATGGCCCTGGGCCAATTGTCTATCCATATGAAAAAAATATAATGGCATCTCTATTCATACCATACACAAAAGCCAATTCCTATGGAATAACTATCTAAATATGAAAAATAAAATTTATAGAAAATATTTAGCATAATATCTTTATTATCTCAGCCCTACAAGATTTTCTAGGCAAGATACAAAAAGTACAAACCATAATATAAATGATTATTAAATTTAGTGATCTTATTTGTCACTTAGCCCGAATAACTACATTACAGTATTACAGTTGTAAACTTCTGTACAACAAAAAATTCTCTAAAGAGAGTGAAAAGGTAAGCTACAGACTGTCTAAGGTATTTTCCACAAATATAAATGAAAAAAAATTTGTATCAAGAATAAATAACTTCTTAAAATTGATCTAAAAAAGAAAGGTAAATAATGCAGTAGGAAAATGGGCAAAGGATATGAACAAGCAGACTCACAGAGGAAACACAAATACCCAACAGCCTCTCCCAACTGAAGTCTCAGTGGTGAGCAATTTACCAATATCTCATCCAAGTGAAGATGCCCAATGCCTGAGGTCCAGAAATTCACTCCTGCACCTTATCCTAGAGAAACTCTCAAGTATAAGAACATTCTTCGGAGCACTGTTTAAATTGGCAACAAACTCCATTGTTTAAAACCAGAATAAAGATACTTGGGATCCTCGTACACATTGGATCAATATGGGGAGATCCAAAAATCTACTATATGAGTGAGTAAAAGGAAGTTGCTGAAGGACACGTACAACATGCCATTTGAATAAATTTTCCAGATATGCGAAATAATATTACATATTGCTTATGCAGCCATGTATAGTAAAAGTATGGAAACATGTCTGGAAGTGATAAACACCAAATGTTGACAGTGGTCACCTCAGAAGAATAGCAGGGTGATGGGATCAGGGAGGGCACAGGGCCTTCAACTCTAAATATAATGTTTCATTTATCATTAAAACACAATATGAACCCAATGAAAATATGGTCATGCTGTAGCATTGACAAAACTGAGAGATGGGTACATTGGTGTTCATAATATTATTCTCTATACTTTTCTATATTTGTTAATATTTTTTTACTTTGGGAAAAAAAGAGAAAATTCACTGTCTATATACCAGTAATAGATAATTTGGAACTATAATTTGTAAAATCATACTATTTAACATATAAAGTTGTTTTGTTATTTTTAAATATCTAGCTCTGGCTAGTAATCTCAGTGGTTAGAACGTCACCTCACACACCAAAGGGTTGTGGGTTCGATTTCTGGCCCTGGTGGGGTGTGTGCAGGAGACAACCAATTGATGTGTCTCTCACATCTCTCTCAATCTCTCTGTCTCTCTTTCTCTCCCCATCCCTCTATCCCTTCTACTCTAAAAAGCAATGGAAAAAATATCCTCAGGTGAGGATTAACAAAAATAAAAAATAAAATAAAAATTTGAACAATGTACCTAAGCCTAGCACTTCTCTGTTTGGGGGCAGGGAGAGCTTAAATGGGTGCTAATGTTTCTCAAAGGTCTCTGTGATGAACTAATGTGGGCACACTGGAGGCCTCTCTTAAAGTGCCCACGTAACTGTCCTGTGTTAAGGCTCTGAGCAGTTCTCTGGTAATGAAATGTATAGTTTTCTTTGATCCAGCATTTTTCAAACATCTGACAGTAGAATTCTTCTTGTGTGAGTGGCCTCACCTTGGGGAAGGCTGACCTGTGACCTCCAAGTTCCCTTCCAATCCTCACAGTCACCATTCTAGTTTTGGCTCTGCCAGGAACTTGCTAGATGACTTTGGCCAAATCACCTTTCCTCTTGGGGCCTTAATTTATTAAGATATTAGATGGGTGTGTGAAGTTTAGACTCTAAGATCTCTTACCTGTTTCCAGCTCTAAAACCCCTCTTTGAAGCCCAAAGTTAGGATGACATTTCCACTTATTCTTCCCCTCTCAACTCTTTATTATTTAACGAAAAGCAGGTTCATGGTAGAAGAATTGCAAAAAATGCACAGAAGCAAAATAAAAAAAGAATTAAATGTACATGCCACTGTGGCCCTTTCTCCAAAGGTATGATGAGAGCCAGCATTTATGGAGCACTTATGTACAAAGCACTGTGCTAGGCTAGGTCTATTCTTATCCTTATTTTACAGAAGAGGAGACCGAGGGTCAGAGAGGTAAAGTGTCCTGGGCAAGGTCAGACAGCTTGCGTGACTCTAACCCAAGTCTTCCTGACTCTACAACACATGTACTCAGCCACTACCATATACAGCCTCCCCGTTTGAAGGGCGTCTTCATCCCTGGAGCCATTCCTTTACTCCCGGTTCCCTAAGTCCTTCAGGATTCTCTCCTCTCCCCAA